TCACTTCTAACATATGAAAGGATGACGACGATTAACATTATAAATCACTGCGTACCTTACAGAGCAAGTAACAAATACAAAATTACTACTATACTTTTCTGGGGAAATGTTTACTACACTATATCATATTATTACTCTTTTTTATTTATATAAAAGCTTCCATTTCAGTCAAATGACAATGTCTCTGTTATTAACCTGTGACCAAGGTTAAAAATTCCAAAAATACGAAAAAATATTTGACGGAGAAACTGGAAGCTTCTGCCCCTCTCGCCTTTTTTTTTCAAATTTTTCATAAATAAAACATATTAACAACAGCTGCTTAAGCAAAATAACTTTACATGTAATTGCAATAAACAAATCATCATAACTTTGTCGCATTTACATGACTGAATAATAAACTCTATACCCCCAGAGTCAAAAGAGGTTATATGAATGAACTAAGGAAGAAATCACATGGTGTGAGAATTCTGATGAAATCTCCCTGACAATACTTGTGCATGTTACTACAGCATCTCTCTCTTTAGATACCCAACAATACATTCAACTCTCTACAGGGACACCTGGAGTTTGTTCTCTCTAAAAGGCTGACACCTTTGCAAGAGGGACACAGGGTATAAGTCCCAACATTCAAGAGGGTGGTAAGAATTGACTGTATCAAAACTGCCGGGATTTTTTTAAAGTAGTTCATCATCATTAGCAACCCTAAGAGTTTAAAAAAGATAACCCTTTAATAAACAGTGATAAACAAGTAATTTCTCCTTGTGATGTCGCTGCCAACTCCATCAGTAAGACAATGAAAGTCAATACTTAAAGGGAATTTATAGCCTAAAAAATGACAAACTTGCATTTTGATATCAGGGATTAAAGGGTCATTGCCATATAGCTGTATGTTACAAAGCTTACGAGGCGCGTATTGTAATATACAAATTATTGTTTTATACGTTGCATAAAAACTGTTAAAAGAAATTTGAATTGAACATTATTGACACTACAGGTAGAGAATACAGATAAACAACTTATGCATTGCTGTTTTTTAGATATTTCTTCTCCAAATTTTGGAATTACAAAAAAATGCATTTGGCTTATCCTCTAATTACAGAAAACTGATGACCATCTATTCAACCAAAAATTATTGAAATATGGAGAAAAGGAACAACCGAACAGACCAATAATATTTTAAAGTAGAAGTGTTGAAAGCATTGAGTAATATTTGGGAACAAAAATTATTGGAACAGAAAATTGAGTAAACTTTTGAATAACTCGAAAAATATGTGAATTAGTTACAATCGCAAGTTTTTGGTTGGCTGGATGGCCTCCAGTTACCACCTCTTCTTTTTGCTGTTTTTCCCAACTTCAACCTTAGTCAACCAAAACAGTAACAAAAAATTACTGTTGACTGTTTTTCTTGGAAGTGCTAATATTATGTACGGTGGCTTTGAGACTAAAAACTAATAATGGAGGTTTGCTTGCATAAAATCCCTAAACTTGCGATAAACTTTGAGATTCTTCTTTCATACTAGTAAGCTATTCTTTAAGGGTAGCATTAACTCTTTCACCCCCACACCAAGTTATGGTGGGAATATCTATCACTGTAACTTTTATACCTGTGGACAGAATCCTATGATGTCACCATTCAAATGAAACCTATTCGGCAAAACTTGTGTATGGTGCTATTTAATTCTTAGGATTTTACAATTTTCAAATGTTGTGAATTTTTTGTTTTCGATCTGCCACCATCAGGAGTGAAAGTGTTCCGTTACAAAACGATGCCAAGCATGTACAACAAAGCTAAGCCACAACATTATTTTACATAACTTTTGCAGCATTGCTTACTTTTAATAACCAAATGAAACTGAGCAAAGCGGTAACAATCTTTACAATTCCAAAAAACATTGGAGAATACAACATATATGACCTAAAGGAGGACGTAAATGTGAAGAGCCACCTTAATCTACTGTAAATCAATAAAGAATTCTTGTTAACTATTATCCTCTTTTGTAAGAGCATTTTGAGTTTAAAGTTAAAGCAGCAAAGAGCATTTGGGATTCTTTTTTCCATGAAGTGACCTCTACTAGAGATTCATTGCCACCACATTAATTTTTTCCACATATGTACAACAAGGACACTGCTATTCTATAGCTTCCCTATCTTCCTTTGTACTCTCGTCTTCTTTGACCTTCTCCTGCGAAAAGACAAAATAAAACACAAGCATTAAAAATAAATTACAATTTCACTTGCTGTTGAAAAACTGGCACTGTGAGAAGCACCAAGCAACTATATGAACAGTTAACCTAAAATGTGGGGACTCCAATAACTTAACGGGTGTGCAAAAAAAGTCCCAGCTAGAAACCCTCACTAAAAGGAGAATTTCACTAATAGTGGGGCACTCTTAGAGGGGGGAGGTATATCCCTCATCCAAAATTCAAAACAGGTCATTTTGCCTATTGAGGAGAAGGCCATGTCGCTGTTGGTTTTCACTATTGTATTTTCAGTGGTCCTCATCACTGTTACTATTTTAACCCATCTTCATGTTGTCTGTCAACATTTCATCTGTCTGTCTTCATGTCACTGTTTCAAGGCCATGTCACTTGTTGTAATTCTACCCTAAGAGAGCCTCACTATTTTAGGCATACAGCTATTTTGAGAAAGTTATCATGTCATCTTTTTTACTCTAGAATTTATGAGAAACAACTGCTGTAAAATCTAGCCAAAATATTTACAGCTATTTCGTGAAAGGTTGTCGGAAAATACGTCCGCGCGACAATCCCGAAAGGTAATAAGGGAAATGATCAATATACTGTTCCTGACACTGTAGCTGTCGAACCTACTTTTGTTGCTTTCCTTTAGCACTCGCAAACATATGTCCATGGCCTATCATGTCATTCTTTCAAATTCCCTTGAAAAACAGCGAACTTAAAACCACCCACAATACCTTACGGGATTGTCAAGTGCACTTTTTCCGACAACGTTTCTCGAAATAGCTGTATATATTTTGGCTAGATTTTACAGCAGTTGTTTCTCATAAATTCTAGTGTAAAAAAGATGACATGATAACTTGCTGACAACATTGCAGTCACTGTACTGCAACTACAGAGAGCTTAAAGAGAGTCAATCTACACAAACGGCTCAACTTCCATTGACTTACATTATTCTTGGTATTGGCTTCTTTAATTGCAAGGCTTTCTTGTCTCTCTAGGATGGGAAGAAACAAGCAGATGTACATATACAATGAGACAACTGTAATATCCACCTCCATAAACACACTGTCAAGGCTGCTGCCTGAGTGAGGATAACATTGGATTCTTTTGGGATTGAGCATACTGGGAGAAGAGTTACATGCAAAAATTCAGGCGAGTATGCATTGGTTAAGGAAACCGGGTACACTGTAAACATTTAAAGTTTCAGAATCCCACTGTGAGACAAACACTCATCCAAAAACGGGAAAAGAGTTCACTTTTTATCTGTTGTAAAGGAACTGCCACATATGCTGATCAACAGGTGACTGACAAAATGTGACTACTGCCTAAAATTAAACAGTTTTTAGCTTCAATATTTGTCCTAATATGCAATGAGATTATGCATGTAATCTTCATTAAGAACAGGTTATCACTTTGCCAGAGCTCCAGCTTTGAAAAGTAACTTACAGAATTATGGCAATTATGCTTATTAATCTCAAAGTTGTTCATACTTACTTCTAAACCTGGCTCTTTCACTTTTGTCAAAGTACCACAATGTAATAGCATATCTGAAAACAACAACAGAGTGTTTCGAGTAAATAATCTGTTCAGTATATGTCTGAAAGGGGTCATGACACAAGAGGCTTGACAAGCCACAACCATCATTTAACATAGCACAGTATTAAAAAAAATATGACTTTGTGTAAAAATCTCTGGATCAACTAATTACAAATCAGTGGGGTGATACCACAATGAAATGTAAATAAGTAGTGCTGTGTTCTGCTATTTAGTCTGGTTTAAATGTTTCGAGCTATTTTTGAAGAGTGTTTTAGCTTTGGCCCTTAAGACTGCAAACCCTTTAACGTGGTGCAACGTTCTAAACACAACAAATCAGGCTTTCTCAGGTATTTCGCCACTTTGCAGCACAAATAATATGCATTCTTTGGCCCCAAACATTTTGCATAAGAACTGTCTTCAATTTCTCTTGGCATACTTGTCACATGCAGGAGAATTAGAAACAAGGTGTGTTATAAGCAATGAGAGTGTGGCAAATAAAACTTTGTGGCAGCAAAAACTGAAACAGCAGTTTTCTTCCACTTTATATACACGTATAAGAGAAAGAAAGTTCATTCTTCTGCTATTCCATGCATGATTGGTGTCTACCCAGATTGAAATAAACATACAAACACCCATTTTTACTCCTTGATTTCAGCAGAATAAAAAAAAACATAAACTGTGGTCTAATTACTGGGAAAAGATCTCTGTGTGATTGGCTTGGGGGTCTTCTTAACTCTTTATAAACAAAACGTGAATTTCTTACAGACAAATACTATCACCATTGAAACTATTAATAACAATAATATTGATACTTGCTTTAATAAACGCCTGTAGATTTGAGGGGTACAGGCAAATTAATTGGAAAAAACCAATGGTTTGAAGGCACGCTTAGGGAAATCACAGCACTGAATATGAGGCCAGGAGTCTGAAATTAAACGTACCTCACATCATGAGATGGCTCTACTTCATGTGGATTTCTGCGATCTGACCAAAACAGCAGCAGTCTGTCTAGTTTAGGCAAAATTTTGACATACTCTTCACCACCACCAGGATACAGCTTTAACATGCCACCTCTCTACAGAAAGGAACGACAATAGATACATCTTCATACATAGCTTAGCAAAAAGTGTTAGGATTCAGTTCATATTAATTAGTTACACAGCTCTAATGTCATTTGTAAACAACCTGTTACCCTTGTAATTCCAAAAATATAGAGTTAAGGAAAGTGTAAAATGTGATGAGAACCAACTGAACCAAATGGTACACATGGATAGAAAATTACATGGAAGAGGTTTCCATGAATTAGGATCAAAATAAGGATTTTGTCAAAAGACTCAAGAGTCACAACCAAGTGCATGTCTCTGCACCTCAGGCTTGGAGTGAGAGGTTAAAACACTATGATAACTAAAAGATGACTTTGGGGTCACTTGATACCTTAAAACTGATATCATACATGACGACCTCTGAAATACAGGCATCCGTCTTATGTTTGTCCCTTTAGTCTCTACACTATTATCATCATTCTTTGAGGTACTAAGAGCTTGCACAAAAGAACATTCATATGCAGACTGTACACACATATAGTGTTTCATATCATAAATTCACTTCTTATCCCATTATCACAAGAATGAAATGTTAAGTACATATAGGACAACAAAATGTTGCTCACCTCTTCCGTCCACCCTGGGTTAAGGTAATATAAAGTTGTTATGCAACGGCCATCCTCATTTGGGTTATCAACATGTCGTTTGTATCCGCTACCCAGACCTGGATAACAGGCAACCATAGCCTTCAAAAAAATAAACATATATTGCTATTAGTGAATACTTCTGGACAAACTAAATTGTCGTTTTACATATCATCCATTCTATTGGACAATAATATTATTATTAGAAAATTTATGGGGGGAGGTGGGGAAAAGTACAAAAATTATTTGTGCAAAGGAAAATAGACTGAAAAGATACCAGAAATGTTAACGACATCATTCTCCCTACCCCCTCTATAACTTTTCCAGTGCTGGCTCCACCCCTTCAAGATATAGAAACACCTCTTATCAGTGTGAACAAAACGTGAAGTGTCAAGATGTTTGTCAAAATACAGGAATTTCAAGTACATTGCCGAACTTATTCTCACTGTTCAGACAGCGCCCACATTAGCTGTGGGCCAAAAGTGCATGGCTGTATCATGGCTTATCTTTATCATTCATTCTATTTTTATTGTTCAATGTTTTCTAGAAAAATAAATGATGAACTGCAGCAGCTATTTTAGGCAGCAGATATCCACTGAACTTTTTCCAAAATGAGCCAAGACACATGCAAATCAAAGGTGTGAAGAAACTGTTAAGTGTTTATCATAGCATGTTGCAACAAAGTAGAGGGAATTGGAGCTTTGCAATCACAAAGCATGAAGTTGTAAGTTAAATTACACGCTCTAAGACAGGAAGGCCACACAGGACCCTATATGCTGTTAACGCTACAAAGGTGTTAACTGAAACATTTCACTGAGCAGCTAATTTTCTTCATGACTAGCTAAACTCAGCAAAGATAGCAGGTCAATATATGAAGAAGCATATTTTTCTGAAGAACACCTTGTTTATGACGATGGAGCACATACATATATGACCCGAAACACAGAAAATCAAGTTGCAAAGTCCAAAGAGGAATTGCGGTGCTGATGTATAACATACACACACCCCCAAACTCAAAATTTAAAACAAAAGATTTCACATTTTGAAAATGTATTTTGCTTTGTAAATGGCCAAAAAATAAACAGCACCAGCTAAAAGTAATGCCACAGAGCTTTATTCAAATCGTCACACTACTGGATTTTGATCACGAGCTCAAAAGTTTGAACCGCACGACATGGGTGGAGCTTCAGGAAAGATGGTGTCTATCAATCTCACAATCTTACATAATAATGCAGTTTAATGCAATGTCAGAGGTAAATGATATACTGTGTGATATGTAAATGCTCAAGAACAATCTAGATATTAAAGTTCAGCAAAAATTAAGTTATAATATCTAAAGGCCAAGGCTAGGTATACAAGATGCAATTCAGCTTTAAATATTGCTTTTATAGCAAAAGTGTAGCTATGGCGTATTTGAGTCTAATTTTTATTTTGCAAATTTGATCAAAACGCTCTTAGAATTTATAGCAACGACATGGCTACTTAAGGTGAAAGGTAAAAGCAGCAAGGTTCGGAGGAGTGATGATACTACTTGGAACTCCAAACAAAAACTACCTAGAACGATATGCTTTCATCATTCATTATTTTTCAATTTTCTCAATGTTATGGTTCTGACCCTGCAAAACGGCATTTGTGTACGTGAAGTAACGCACGTCGACGAAAACACAAATCCAGGGGGGAGGGGTGTGTTATTTGTGTCCCCGATGCAGTCTATGTCAACCGAATCGAGAGAGTTTCTCCTTCCCTTCCCAAATGTTTGAATAGATTTTCCTGCCCAAAATTTTATTTAATCATTTATTTGAAAATGGCTTAGCATGCAACATGACGAGTAAAACACAACTTTTTTAATTAATCGTATTTTCAAATTAAACACGTCACGGGCGAGGTAGACGGTCGAGGTTTTTCGACGAAACGAATGATTTTGTCGAACGTTCTAATCACAAAAAGAAAGAAAAAGTCTCACCTTCGTCCTGTGTTCGATGTCGTATTCTTCAATAAGTGCATTACAATTTCGTATCAGCAAATTTACAGCGTTCATATGATACGAAATTGTTTCACAGTTATCTTCTTTCCCGTCTATCCATGCTATTTTATCGTCCCGTATTTTCTTGTTTAACGTACTGCCGTTGCCATTTGAAGAAACTAACTCTCCGTCGGTGAATTTGCGATCTTGATGCAAGGACTTTACCTCGCTGAGAATTTTCCTGGCAATGTCATCGCCGTGAAAATCGTCGATATAACAGTAGCCTTTGTCTCTCAACGTTTCAACAACAGACTTTGCCTGTTCTGTAATACTGTTCTGAACGAAGTCCATCACATTATAACTGTTCATTCTCGTAAAATGCGTTCCTGTTCTTGTAGTTGGCTGTCCCATGCATTTTCTCCTATGTAATTTCCAGTCATTTTTCCGATGTTCCGTACAACAATAACTCGCAAGTCTACAGTGGGAACACGTTAGAGAAGCTTCTTGGTTGCAGTAATCACACAACATTTTCCTTTCGTGAGGGCTCAGACGGGACATCCGCAAATACCCGCCTAAAAACACAGAAAATACAGAACGAAATTAGCAGTTTCACAACTTCAAAAGAAACGCGACATGACATTTTCCCTACCCGGTTCCCAAAAGTCACGTGTCCAAAGAGCCTACACTCCACGTGATCAAAACATAACCTTGGCCAAAACGTGATTTTTGAGAATTCTACATCCGGTTACGACGCAGGTGCATAGAAAGAAGGCTAAAAATCTTGTCATTTTCAAGTTTAATAAATGACTTTTTAAGCAGAGAATGGAAAAAGTTAAAATCTATGTATCTTTTCAAAAATTTCTATGAAAATTACAATTCTTGAATGAATTATGTAACGAACGTAGTCAACGCACCCGACACGTACAGTCAACATTACATTCCCCGCTCATACGTCAACAAGTTACCCGATCACGCAAACAGAAACTCAGCTCGTGTGAATCTAACTTCACTACTTGTAGGCTCAAGACACTTTTCTGATATTAAAGATATCATTCTTAGTTTAACTGTCACGTTTTTGGTGGTTTTAAGGGCTCTTTAAGCCTTTGTATCTCTCCCCCAACCATTCAGCGCGTTCTTTTGTTCGCCAACACGTCACGGAGATTTGTCGCGGTAATTTATGCGTCGTCTAAAAAAAGTAACAGGAAATACCGCTTTCAATCTGTGATGCTTTGTTAAAGAAAGAAGGCGATTGAATATATTACACCTTACAAAAAATATATAGACGAGATTCAATTTTTTAACAAAACACGAAACAATATTACAACCGAGCAAGGGTTTAATAATGGGGGAGATTTTTAAAAAATACAAAAATGAAACAGATTTTCATGGAAGGCATACATAAGGCAAAGAACAATATTTGGCTACGCATTTTTTAACACTTTCTAGAACATAACTTCCGTGTAAAATCAATTCCAGTGACCGTTATCTATTTTTAAATTAAAACTCAGTCTTTGTTTGTACTCTCTTTTATATCCGTATGGTTCACGGATGACCCGTTTGTCCTAAAAGTTCTAAACTAAGCTTTTGATCCGAATTTAAACCTTGTTTATAGCTATGATAAATGTAGTGATGCACGACTTTGCAGAACTACTACCGCTCTGACAGTTGGAGTCTCTAAACACAGTTTATAATAAAAGTCGAAAATTAGCCTGTGTAGCAAGCGTTCCAATCGAGTTCGCGCGGAAACGATTGCTACACAGGCTGGTCGAAAATTTAATCCTACACTTTTGATCAGAAAACCGACACTCAACGGAAAATTCAATTTTTTTCTTTTCCATATTAATTGGCTGAACATTTTGGAATTTACTAAACCAAAGGTCTCTGTGATTTCTCTTCTCGTAAAAACCTTCCTCTTCCTTCCGGATAATTTGTCAAGCTGGCGTGACACAACTGTGCCCACGCTATCAATAGGTGGGGTGGTCATGGCCTTGTTTCCTATCCACTATCTACGATGGTTGATTGCAATGGTAAGGCCCTGGAATGAAATCTTAACATACCGTGACGCAGCAGATTCAGTATATCGATTCGTTCTCCGCTCTCGTTTCATTTTTTTTCGAGTGAAAGCAATTTTTCTAAGGCTTAGAGGCAAATCAAATCGAGGACAGGACATTGCAGAATAGAGCAAAAGAAACAGTTAGTATAATATTCCAAGCTCGAGAAGCGCAGCTTTGATGGCCGTGCAATGAGTATCCAGTGCGCCCGCAGTCTTCTCGTGCCCATGTCACCTCCTTCAATAACAAACACTCAAAAACATACTTTGAATATACTCAACATGGTTTAACCATATCGAAGTCTCTATTATGTAAAATTTGGTTCTAATTTCTTTACAGAACAGATAAAGAACTGTTAGATTGGAGTCTCTCTGTGAAAAGTCAACAACTAATTGACTGAATTTGATTTGCTGCACTGAGGAGATCACGAAGCGGCCGCAGCGCTAAAGATTTCCAATCGTTGTATCTTGAAAGAATGATGATAGACAACTCAATCAAAAAGCTAGCATAAAGATGACTCTTTCCGAGCGAGACCGGCTTTAGAGAAATAGTTGTTAAGCTTTTACAATTTTGATGACAAAGCGAAAACGCTGTTACTCATCCATGAAAATAAAGATACCGGAGTGGTGAGTCTTTTTACTTGTACAACGCGGAGGATAATCTTTTTTTAAATTAAAGTTAACGAACAGATTCTGGTACAAGATGAAGCAGTCGATTTTAGGTTAGTTTGTAGAAGGACAGGCTGAGATACTGATGTGCAGTCGCAAAACTAGGACAACTGATGTTAGCTTTTGCCTTATAGGAAACGTTATTTGTGGCTCTGAAACAGTATGGTCAATTTCCACTTCATCACGCTAAGCTATTCGCACTGAACTATCCACTGGAGTATTCTTTTATTCTGATCTATCCAGAGAGGGCCAGAGTAGCAACTGGACGGTTCTGAATGCTCCACTGATATCGGACAGAGATCCAATTCAGAGAGCGCGAAGTAGTTTTTCTAAGTTACTTCTCTACATTTTACATCTGATTTACCCCTTTTCTAAGAATGACAAAGTGCGGGGTTGAATCTGAGTAAAAACAGAAAAACAACTAAGTTTGTGTTGCTGCGACTTTTGTAAAACCTGTGGTGCGTCTAACTTGACCGAGATTTTCGATAACTAAGCAGTACTTTCCGTGCATTCGTTTGTTTTGAAAGTTAGACTTTGCACAATTCTAAGCTATGATCGAATTCTTTCCATTGCAAGACCACTAGAAAGAGAGAAACTCCGTGTTTAAATAGATTACTCTTCATCACGACACATCTA